GGCAGCGTGGGGGTTCTATCAACCTCCAGTCGGCGGCGAGCCCACGGAGAAAGTGAGAAGGGGCGGACCTGCTCAGAAGTTTTCCAGGAAAGCTTTCCCCAGAGACACAGAGAACATCTCAGGAGGCCGGGGCGCTTCTGAGAAGCCCCGCCGCCTTCCGAGAAGGCCTTCTCCTTCTCACTTCCCCCCCTCGCTCGCCGCCGATCCAAATATCTCCATCGTTTTCCTTCAGCAGCGCAAGCGGCCTTATCGCAACGAGCAACGCCTGCCGTTCACATTGCGCAGCTCAGCCGACCGTCGACTCGGTCGGACTTGCGCAAACAAGCTCCCCAGAAAACCAAGCGAGTTGTGCTGGAGCGCAGTGCGCGCCAGCCAAAGCTGGAGACACTCTGAGAGAAACAATGCAGGCCCCTCTGTCTATCTTTAGGTCGGGCGTGTCCCGCGCAACAAATAAACATACGCAACAACTATTCAAAAATGCTCCAACACAGTAGAAACGATCTTCCCCAGACTATTCTTTGCTATTTTTGAAGACTCCTCCTTTAGAGGGACAGGCCCGACATAAGTCTATCTACACGTCAACTGGCGACTGAAACATTCACCACTTCAGAAACTGCACTCTCGCCTGTATACGCACACGATGGCTGGAACCTGCGGCGCCGTCAGCACGGACTGCGGGCTTCTTGCCGCGCCGCGGACGCTGCTGCGGACCGATGCTCGCCCCGGGCGGCGAAGGCTCGGGTGTTGCCAGCAGTGGCCCTGGCCCGAGGTGCCCCCAGGCTCCTCGGTTCATCCTGGAGCCCCTGGGGGGCCCTCTGGGACTCACGAGGGGTGCTCTGGAGGCCGTGGTGGGGGGGCCTCCTTGGACATCCTGGGGGCACCTTGGGCCAGGGGCACTTCTGACTACAACCCAACCCGAAGACCCGAATTTGACCCGAATTTCGGGTTCGGGGGGGTACGGGTTCCATGTGCTTTTTCAATGTTCCCCGACCCCCCCCCACTGGAAATGGAGGGCTAATCGAGGCCTTCGGGTTGGGCCTGGTGGGTGGTGAACCTCTGGCAACGCCCGGAAGGGCAGGCCAGCCAGCGCTCAGAGCCGGAACGCCGCGGCGTCGAAGACGAGGCGCGCGTGGCCGGCGGCCGCCTCCTCCGCCGCTGACACCATGGCGGCAGGGCCGCACGCCTGCACGCAGATGGTGCCAGCGGGGCCCGCGCTCGACTGGAGGGCCTCCAGGTCGCCCACCGCCTCGGAGCAGGGCGCGAGCTGACCTCCTCCTCCTCCTCCTCCTCCTCCCTCCTCCCTCCTCCCTCCTCCCTCCTCCTTTCCGTTTTCGCATGGTTTCCGTCGCGCGCGGCCGTGCTGCTGCTGCTGCTGCCCGCGGTCCGCGCCGGCGGCGACGAGGCTGATTGGCGTGAGGCCCTGCGGGCGCGGCCGGGGCCCCCGGATTGAGGCCAGTGCATGTGCATGGTGCGGCGGCGCGTCGGGCCGCCGCGTTTCCCCCTCCTCCCCTTCCTCCCCCCCCCTCGCCGCAGGGCTTCTTCAGCTGGTAAAAACATGTGGTTTCCGTGGTCCCTCGGTCTGTCTTCGTTCCGCCCCTGCTGCAGAACGAGGCCGAAAAAGCGCAGGGAGCCCACGGAATCGCCAGAGCGTCGTTCGGTTCAGCTCGCACCCCGCCTCGGAGTAGATCTGCGGGAAGGAGGGCCTCCCCTTCTTCAGCGGGGCCGCGAAGGTCGCCGTGGACTGGTCGCCGCCCGTCGCATAGAAGGTGACCGAGAACTTGGGGGAGCCGGCCGGGTACTCTGCCTGCAGGCACTGCGCGATGGAGTCGTCGAGGACCCGGAAGAGCTCGGGGCTCCTGACGATCCACACCAGGCGCACCATCTTCAGGGAGGCGGGCAGCTCGCGCCGCACCGCCATCTGCGAGAACGTGCGCAGGGTGCTGTGGACCTGCGTGATGCCGATGCCCCCGCCGATGAGCAGAAACGCCGCGTGGTCCGCCGGGTCAAACATCGGCCCATAAGCTCCATCCAGCTGCACAGTCAGCGCCGAGGGATCCCCCTCGCGAACCAGCTGGTACAGCTTGTCTGTGAAGGTGCCCCTGCCCATGTTCTTGATGCACATCTTCGAGACGCCGTCGGACGGGGAGCTGGCCAGTGAGAAGGGGTGCCATTCCCAGGTTGAGACCGCAGGAACATTTACCCATGCAAACTGCCCAGGGTAGGGGTGTGACTTGCTGATCTGGAGCTCCACCACTCCGCCCTCTGCCTCGTAGGTCTTGGCCGAGAGAAGGACAGCTGTGGGTGACGTGACGCCCACGAAGCGCATCGCACAATCTACGAGGTAGAAAGCAACCCCACCGATCAAGAAGTACCAAGAACTCTCAGCATGCAGAAGGGTTGCTGGAATCAATACGAGAAAAAAGAAATGGGTGTACTTGAAGATCTCCCACCCCTTGTTTCGGAACAGCGGCAACACACCGAATATGAACAATGCTGGGTA